ATTTGTGTAATGCATTAATTATGCCTCATAATTAAAAATAGAGCTGCTCTGACTAAAGATATTAGAATCAATTAAAGTCCAGTGCATTACCATACATTGCAGGGATCTTATCATGTGAGGGCTATTTTAATATTTCAGCGCTTATAAAATCTCTGTAAATACAATTGAGTCCTTTATTTCATAAAATGGTGGCAGAAGTAATGTGATTAAAAAGTTAATAAATAATGCATTACAGAAAGATATAGCTCAGCATAAATGAAAATGAAAACTCCTTTTGAAAGTTTGAACAGTTTTATCAAGTTTTGCAGTGAATTCAGACAATAAATGTTGGTGCATTTATACAAAAATTTTTATTAAACAGCTTTATTCATTAAAATAGGACTTTGGTCACCTAACATCTTTAGTAATAGAAAGTTAATAGATTTAAATTCAAACTATTTATTGAAAAAAAAATACCAACATTCATTCATTCCTTTATTTAGGGTTTAGTTCCTTTATTAATCTGGGGTCCCCACAGCGGAATGAACCGCCAACTTATCCAGCATATGTTTTACACAGCGGATGCCCTTCCAGCCGCAACCCATCTCTGGGAAACATCCATACACACACACACTCATACACTACGGACAATTTAGCCTACCCAATTCACCTGTCTTTAGACTGTGGGGGAAACCGGAGCACTCGGAGGAAACCCACGCGAACCAAGGAGAACATGCAAACTCCACACAGAAACACCAACTGACCCAGCCGAGGATCGAACCAGCGACCTTCTTGCTGTGAGGCAATCGTGCTGCCCACTGCGGCCCCCACTAAAAAATATTTTCAAATGTTTTACAAGATGCTTTACATGTTATTATTATTTGCATTAAGATAAAATGTGGCAACATGGTGGCTCAGTGGTTAGCGTAGTCACCTCACAGCAAGTAGGTCGCTGGTTTAAGTCCCGGCTGGGTCAGTTGGCATTTCTGGGTGGAGTTTGCATGTTCTCCCCATTTTGGTGTGGGTTTCCTCTGGGTGCTGCTTCGGTTTGTTTCCCCCGCTATAGGTAAATTGAATAACCTGAAATTGGCCGTAGTATATTAGTGTAAATGAGTGTGTATGGATGTTTCCCATTACTGGGTTTCAGCTGGAAGGGCAATCGCTGTGTAAAACATATGCTGGATAAGTTGGTGTGATGAATAAAGGTACTAAGCCAAAGGAAAAGCAAATAATGAATGAAGATAAAATGTAGAAAAGGAGACTAAGTCAGTGGCGCAAAAAGGGGGTATGCAGTATATGCGGCGCATAGGGGCGCCACACATGGGGGGGCGCCATTGTGCCAAAACTATTTTTGAAATTATCCTTACTAAAAGTTTCAAATAAAATAAATAAATAAATAAAAATGTTTTGTTAAAAATGTTTTTTTTTTTGCATTTTGTATGAGTATAATATTGTATTTTAATAAATAAAAAATTATACCATGAGTTGCATACGTTGGCACACACATTTTAATTCAAAATCAACACAATAACATGCAGTCGCAGAGCCAAGTGTAAAGTGTTCATGTAAATGTAACTTTAGATTTTTTGTAACAATTTTTATCAAAATAAAACTGTCAAATCATACATATAGTACAGTTGAGGTCAGAAGTTATAAGATTAATCTGAATTTTTTCTTTCTTTATTATTGTTTATTATTAATTATTTAATTATTTTGCCTAAATAAGAGGGATCGCACAAAATGTATGTTTATGTAAGTACAGACCTATTTCACATAAACCGATATTTCAGATAAAATATTTGGATTAAAAATTCACCTATATAAATATTATATACTTGATTATAATGATTCTTAACCCTGTTAAAGTTGACACATGAACAAATTGTCCGAATATTCAAATTTTTTGGAACTGAAATGTTTTTAATCCTTCTATCAAGATCCATTTTATACAATATACATGTTTTTATAAATTTATTATGTGTCATATTGATACATCAGGCCTTTTAGTAACTTTTTTTGTTCAAAACTATTTTATTTTAGTTACAAAACTTGAACCCGCATACCTCTCAGTATATGTGTAGTTGCGCCCCTGGACTAAGTGATAGTGAGTAAAAAACAGCTAAATAAATTAAAACAAACGAAAGTACAAAAGGTGCATGTTAGAACTTTTGGGCCCTTTGGCTGGCCCCAAATCACTAAATCCGCCCCTGTGTGTACCAGTGAAAATGTAAACATTTGGCATGGCACAAAATTTTCTCTTTCTGTAGCCATGCTGCCACCTAGTGGCGAGACAGCGAGACGAAAATACTGGTCTCGGTTCCAAATAACTACAACATTTCTGACATGTTATTACAAATCATTTAAGGCAAACAACTTACTATTTTAGACTGCCTACTTGAATGGGTAGCTAACCATTAATATAATATTAATTTAAAACAACAACATGCGTGTAGATCAAAACACATTAAATAATGGAATAGATAAACAATTGTTAGCCAGTCAGCAAAAAAAGTCTTTTTAATTTTTAAATTACGCAAGTGCAATTCAGAGATAATTGTTGGCGACTAGCGAGCACCCACACCAACACGGGGAGAACATGCAAACTCCACACAGAAAAGCCAATTGACCCAGCTGGGACTCGAATCAGTGACCTTCTTACTGTGAGGCGACTGTGCTAACCACTGAGCCACCATGTCGCTCAAATCATAATCAGTCAGAGGACTATTAGTTTTATATGCAGTGACTATTTAGCATTCACAAGTTTAGTTCATTTTGTCTGACATGACAAAGCAAATGATAATGTTATAAAACAGCAAAGAGTTGAAAGCAATTGATGCATGTCCAAAAGTATTTGCAATTTTTTAGGAGGAATGAGAAACTGCTACTGTGATGTGCACAAATTAATTGTTTTGAGAAATGCATGAACTGTTGTGCAAATGTAAATAGTGTTGTGAGAAATGCACCAAAGCCACT